CTGCATAAACATGGCTCTTTCCAATGTTTCCAAACACTCAGAATAGGGATACCTAAACATTGATAGCTATTTTCTTTGACAGTCCACTAGGTGTTTTGCAGACGTTCAAAACACTACATAAATTTGTACGTGAATAAGTGTTGTGCGTAGTTGAACAAAGCAGCCCCGTAAATATCCCCATGTTCAATCAATTAGCTTCAGAACGTGTTTGCTACGTTTTATTTAGTCTCCACCAGACTTTTTTTGCAGGCTGAATAAATCGTAGAAATCAGCCTAAATGTATTAATTGTCGAGAGAAGATAGCCGGCCATCGACGATCAAACAGGCCAATTTGATCGTCGATGGCCGGCTACCTTCTCTCGACAATTAATACTTTTTTAGGCCGATTTCTACGATTTATTCAGCCTAGCAAAAGAAGTCTGGTGGAGAGTACGTTTTGTTGTTTGGGCTGGCGTCATCATTGGCATTGTGTTGTACAGTGAAGGACCCAAACCGATTTAAAATCCTCTTTTCTCTTTAAAATTTTGGTCCAGTTTGGAGACCTTTGGGCTAGAAGAAACGGCCAAGGACAAAGCTTTCCGACTTTTGTCAAATTTTGTTTATTTCACCCATTTCATGGGCGTAATGAGAGACCTGAGTGATGAGGTCGTGCCTGCCCAGAGCGGATGGATGCATGAGAATATTGAAGTCAAAAGTAGGATTAGTTTACTGTTGTCAGCTGTTTTCGTTGCATATTTGGTACATGGTAGGGAGACCCTTGTGAATCTCTGATGCTGAAGAATGTTTGAGACTGAAATATGGGAAAGTAAAATTTATACGTTATTGTTTTAATGTATTCAATGGTCAAACTTAATTACATGTGGTATTTATCTGCCCTGAAATTCCCACTTACCTTTTTACATCAACTTACTCATTGGCATCTACGTTTGGTTTTCGTATGGGGGATGTTAGCGTTTGTTTGTTTGTTTGTTTGTTTGTTTATTTAAGAAATCTCCAATTAGTGACATATAACACACCAGTACTCTTCCTAGCCTGGAGTCCTCTCATGACACCCATTATAAAAAAGTTTACATCATATTATTATTAAGTACTATTTACATCAACTTCTAACTATTACCAAAGAAAACTTTTAAATTACTTGTCAACATTAAACAGCATTACATACAAAATGTTAGGCTTAATATTCATTTGCTTGGTTTTGAAGAGTTTAATACATCTTGTAACACGTTATAACATACATCCACGATGTGTCACTGACTTTACCATAACTAATGACAGGACTCAGGATGCCAGGGTACAAACTGTCCTGACCTGGAACTCACATTGTCCCTCACGATTACCAAATAAGACCAGATAAAGTAAAATTATAGCTTTATAATGGTTATTTATCAACAAGTAATATGTTGCCCTGTTTGAGGCAGTTGCGATTTCACACGTTTACAGCCAACACAACTCAAGTCTTGGTCACCTTTTGAAGCACGGAAGTCTGTTAGTTCCTGATGTCCATACTAGCGGTTTTCGGTGGATGCATGGTGCATAGATAAGGCATATCAACACAGTCCAGTCGTCCTTCCTATGGCCGTCACTTCCAGCTATGTCTAAGCTGGCGTATTTATCATCTACAAACCCAATTCGTGGCGTTTTTTTAAAGGCCACCTTGATTTGATTATTTGGATGACATCCTCTGGGAACCCCAAAACTGATGCGAGCGTGCGTATAAAAATTGGCAAAAAAAGCTGCTTTCGTTATGAAATCTACATGAAGGTTGAACAAATGACACAGAGTATGGTATGGCGAATAATCTACTCTTCAAATATTCATTTCTTTACATTTTCGTCTTTTTCGCGCGAATTCGTTTGATTTTGGCATTCTACGACATTGGTATCGTTTTCCAATTTTTTTTTTGCAACTTACGGTATACATTTGTTCATTTTGCAACTGTTTTGTACGTTTTACAGTATGGTTGATTATTAAAAAAAAACTTTTTCCGAAAATTCATGCGCGCGTGGATTTCATCCATTTAATCACATCAACATGGCCTAACCGTAAAGATGTAGTGTTCTATCGGGTGTACGCATTTTCAAGAGAAAAAGACCAAAACCAGGAAATCATGTCCAAAAAAAAAGTTGGAAACCGTTACTTTCCAGCAATGATTAGCACAGTATGGCGATCAGAAAACGGACAATATCAGACATTATACGTTACGATCTCTCCTTCCAACCTCTGCTTGGGGAGTTCTAGAAAAGGGGACAGAAGTTGTTTTGCACACTGCCAATCGCCCTCCTATTGAAGATGTTTCAATGCGATCAACATGAGGTATGGAAACAATGACCGGTGTCAATTATGAAATTATACGCGAGCCTTATTACATATTAAAGGGACAAAAAAGGTTGCATCCTGTCCGGAAAGAACTGACGGACCATGGTGAGTGATTATTTGTGTTGGAGGCATCCGGAGTGCAGGCGGTGTGCGTAGGTCTATTCAGCATGATATGAATGATGTTTGGGAAAGATTCAATGATGCCATCTCTAACAATAACGCAATTACGGGTGTATTTTTATAATATAATAATAATAATAATAGTGGTTTATTTCATTCTGACCGTACGATACAGAGTGGCAGGGTCCCCGTAGGACCCTGAATTGATCTGCCGCATTACATAAGTGTTTAATTACGATTGACTTAAATATTACAAGCAAATATTAAAACTATTATTTTATTATTTTAAAATATTTACAATACGCAGGTTACGATCTTAGTCATTCGGTTAAAAACATCATCTATAGTAAAAAAAACATCATCTATAGTAATAAAACTTCTTCTACATGCTGTTATTTAGCAGACTGGTTAAGAATGGGATTGGACTGTTTCTGTACCGCTCTGTGTGTACTGGCAATCGGTCTAGTTGGTTTCTTTGTCTTGTTATCCTACCGCTGACGTCACCTCTGAGTTCGGGCAGCCAACCACGGTACTCTTCTGAGTTGAGCAGTTTTTTAACAAACTTCAGACAGAGAGTAGAGCGTCTGTCATCAAGTGTTTGTAAGTGCAGCACTTCGCAGGCTGACGAATACCCGTGGTAGTTTCTTCTCAGCATTATCTTTGCCGCTCGCCTCTGTATGTTCTCTATTTTTTTCCGTTGGTCACGTGTTAACCCCCCATGCCATACCGGGGCGGCATACTCAACCAACATATTTATATAAATTTCTCAATAGCATTCGATTTTCGCTGCTTGTATGCGTAAGTTTGTGATTTTAATGAAACAATGAAAATCTGGAGGAAATAAACAAAATTGGGAAAATAACCCAAACATGCACGTCCACAAATACTGGTATTAAACCATAGACGACAGCATAGCTTATCCCAACGTTTTAGAAATGTTATTATTTGTGTCCTCCCCGCACAGAGTCTTTTATACTCTATAGTATACTCATCATGAACAGCAAGTAAATTAGCTACTCCAGCGTCTCTCTTACATAATTCTCTCACGCTGGTCCGAGTAGATGTAATTATTTGACAAGAAATTGTGAGATGATGTCGGATAGCACTGTTATCTCTGGTTATGAAAAATGGAGAAAAATTTTGTTTGACTGCTGATAACTGCTGATTCGCCGGCCTTGCACGATATCGATACAGAAGATGATTGCAAAAGATGATTTCCAGCAGGTTCGAATTCATACGTTGCATCAGTAGTTGTCTAGGCAAATGGATCCCTTGTTTTCATGAGGGATCTTTTAACCTATATAAAGTCGTGATGGTTTCACGGAGGTCTGAGATCTCAGAATTCTTGTTGTAATTATAACGTGCTGATACATCCGGTTAATAATTATATCTCCCTGTTGATTTCGCTGTCCTCATTTAGAAGGTGAAGGACTGTAACTCTCAGCTGCAAAGTGAGCAAATATATGCCGTAATTTGCAAAAAGTATATTGGAAACGATTATTTTATCGTAGAATGCCAAAATCAATTCCAAAGGAAAAGAAAAAATGTCAAGAAATGAAAATGAAGAGTCCAGTATTCGCCATACCATACTATGTTTCGTCACTTGTTTAACATTTACGATCAAGTAGAGGCAACATATTTATTATGTTTACCGAAGGAAACCATTGTTTTTGCTCAGTTTCCTCTTCTTCTCCAAACAATGACCTCTGACCTGACTTGTTGACGTCTGTCACCATGGTAACTGGTCTTGGGTTACATAATGTTGCAATTTTATGGCAGGAGGAATTTAAACTTCTGTCACCATATATATGAATGTGTTTGAGTAATAATTAACAGAGCAGACCATATGCGAAGGTAAACATTATGCATTTGCTTTGCAAATGTTATTTTTCTAGTTTTGCAAACCTTTTGATCGCACGCTTGCATCACTTTTGGGATTTCCAGAATCATATAAAGACGACTTTAGTCATCGTTTCCGCCTGATTAGCATTGTAGCCGCAGGCGGGAAAAACCCTGCATCTCAGGCTTCAAGGATCACATTGTAGCTGACAACATCTAATACTGTTGGTGTTCTGACACCAATTAGAAGAACTCG